TGGAAAGCAGCTTGGCAGAAAAGAACCTGGGGGTCCAGCCAACAACATGCCTCACTGCAAAGGCCAGTGGTATCCTGGACTGCATGAGGAGGAGTGTGCCAGCAGGTTGGGGGAGGTGATCCTTCTCCTCTACTCAGCACTGGCAAGGCCACACCTGGAGTACTGTGTCCAGTTCTGGGCTCCCCAGTACAAGGGAGAGATGGACATACTGGAGAGAGTCCAGTGAAAGGCCACTAAGATGATGAAGGGTCTGGAACATCTCTCATATGATGAAAGGCTGAGACAGCTGGGACTGTTTAGCCTAGAGAAGAAAAGGCTCAGAGGGGATCTCATTAATGCGTACAAATATCTGAAGGGAGGGTGCAAAGGAGATGAAGCCGGGCTCTTTTCAGTGGTGCCCAGTGACAGGACCAGAGGCAATGGGCACCTACTGAAACACAGGAGGGTCCACCTGAATGTAAGGAAACACTTTTGACTGTGAGGGTGACTGAGCACTGGCACAGGTTGCCCAGAGAGGCTGTGAAGTCTCCCTCCTTGGAAACATGATCCTAGGCAGCCTACTTTAGGTGGCCCTGCCTGAGCAGGGGTTGGACCAGATGACCTCCAGAGGAGAGGTCCCTTCCAACCTCAACCATTCTGTGATTCTGTGATTTTGTGATATCCGTCCTTCCCTGAGCCCTCTGTCACATCAGCACAGAAGAGCCACTGTAGCCTGATAAGGGAGCTATACAGAGAGGTATCAGGGACCTTAGTCCTCCCAATTAGTTGTTTCCCAAAGAAACTCACTAACCGGGTGGCAGAGATACATCCAACTTAGGTACCGATAGATTTACATGTGGGGTGACCTCTTCTGCATGAAGATTTAGAGGGCAGAAGTGATGTCCTAAGCCTTTTTACTCCAGTCAGCACACCCTCTGTAATAACAACTAAGACAGATCATTCCCATAGTATCTTAAAACCACAAATCTAAATCTTCCATAGTATTTTTTTGGAAGGAAATAATGAGTTTTTCAACAGCTGAATAATTAATGAAATGAAGGAAAAGATTCTGCTGAGCCTTTCCATACATTCAGCTGTAGACTAAGATGAAGCATGAAAAAGAAACACTAAAAATATTTTTTTCAGAGTATATTAAACTTTTGAACTCTGGGAATTACTGATACAGCTATATCACTTGTACATGGCACAAACATTAAAGTGTAGTTCACTTTAATGTGATGGCCAAGCCATCCATGTTAAAAACAAACCACTGGCCCAAAATCATAATAAACCAATTACTGGCTCCACTGGATAATAATAACACGACAGTGCATTTAATAGGTATTCAGAAAAGCTATTTATATATTATCACTTGCCAAAAGACTTGCTTCCAGGTTTTTTCACGCTGCTTTTCCAAGAAAAGTAGGACCTCCAGCTAATTTTGCCCTGTCTGGTGAAAGAAACAACAGAATAAAAACACTCTTTTCAAACGTATCCATTTATTTTGACTCCAACTCAACTCAAACAAAAACCACATTGAGAGAAAAGGTCAGCAGAAGAAAGTAAAACAGATCAAAATCTATCACCATGTCTGTCAAACATAGGAAGGCAGAAACATCCAGCAAGCCAACTAACCAGAATCCAAGCTCCACCAGTGGCCAGGTGCAACTGTTTCAAAGGATGGTGTGAAAATCCCACCCAAGACCTAAGCAAAGAATATTGATATCTCCGAGAATGGGAATAAGAGGTGGCAATTCACAGAAGTCCTGCTGCTGTGCTGCCTGCCTTATTTGAAATGTTCTAAGCTCAGCCACTTTGTCAAGAATTGAATGGACACCCACAGGACTTCACTCAGTTCTTCCCAATTGAATTTTCTGTAACAAACTGGCTTTTGGCTTGGCTTGTGGCTATATTTACTGCTTTATTCAGGAGGAATTCAGGAGGTAAAACAGCCTATCACCTGCTTGTGTCTTGGATCCCAGCTCCCAAGCGTGTTCTAACATCCTCCCCTCTCACACACTAGGTAACCATCGGCTGGTATCACCAGCTGCCTCATTCTGTGTATCACCCCAAAAGATCCCCAACACCCTCTCACTCTGATGTCAAGTACTACAGGCCAAAGCATACTTACAGTGCACTGCACTGAATGAGAAGGTAGGCTTAGTTCACAGATCTGCTCTGCACAGTTTCCTGGGTCTTCTGAAGACAGACAGACAATAAAGCTTGGGAGGAGAGAGGCTACTCCCTAGATGTTGTCTCCTGCTTTGGAATAATATCTTTTTGGGGTTTTGTAAACACAATATTTGAAAGGTTGTTACATTTAGAAATTAAGTTTTACTTAGGTATCATTCCTCAGGACAGAAATGTATCATTTTCCTGTACCCTCCTGCCTTCCCCCACTAGAAGCTTCTCCTCATCAAAAGGCTCGTAGTGAGATAATTCATTCTCTTAGCCATGGATTTCTGAAAGCTCTGGGACTGAAATGTGAACGATCGTGTTTCCTGCTTTGGAGAGGCATCATCCTGGAAACTAGTGATTTCCTTTGTGGGTGATTTCCCCTGGATCAATAAGGACTTGGGACTGTGGTCCTCCCAGCACCAGGCTCCACCTGACTTCATCATCTTTCTCCTACTGTTATCCTCTCCTATCTATTGCCAGCCCTCTAGCCTGAGTGGCCTCACTGAGCTATAACCCCCTTGGCTTCTTCTGCCAAGGCACTGGGCCAGTTTGCCAGGGAACAGAACTGGACAGACAGTGGGTGTCCTTCTGCATGCATTGGACTGTGTCCAGAGAGTGTTGTTCATAGGGTTGCCTTGACCCTCGGTCCGGATCCTACTGCTAAAGGTAGGTGTCAAGGGCTGGGAACTCGAGGTTCCCAAGCCAGCCACCTGGAAGTGCTGTGCAATGAACTATGTTTCTGGGGCTGAAGGCAGGTTTTAGGATTTGTGTGGTGGCTTTGGACTAGTGCAGCTGCAGGGACATGGGACATATGTGTTCAGAACCCTTTTGATGAGGGGGTATGGACTGCTACCTATAAGTGGGGCTGGTGTTGGTATGATGAGTAAGACTGCAGATGGCCGTAAGTCTGTATGAACATTGTGGATTTGGAGATGAATGCAGTCAGATGGATGATGGCTGAAATGCCAGGAGACTCATGAAGTAAAATTGGTGGTGTAGATCCCTGCCTCACTGGGCAGTTGCTGTTGTGGAGCTGCAAAGAGAAGCTGTGAACTGTGGCACCTCCCTGTATGTGCAACAGGTGGGGCAAAAAAAAGCTACTAGTCACAGGCCCCAGCAGTAATTCTGGCAGCCAGAAAACATTTCCCAGAAAGGTTAATCAAGCTGGATAGAGAGGAAATTCTGCTAGGGTCTGAACAGTGTGGACTCGGAACTGCATTACGTTACAGAAACACAGCAGTCCTGCTGGAAGGAAAGTCTGGCTTCTGTTTCTTGCCCACTTGCAGATTGCAAATCAACAACTCTGAACATTTTTCTCTTTGCAAACCAGTAGTACTTGAATCTGAATCGCCAGTATAAGATTCCCACAGTGCTCATGTAGATACCATAGCAGACCACTCAACAACTGCCAGCATGACAGAATTCATCTGATTTTTTTCACTTGAACATGATACATTGGCTTCTTTTCTTACAATACATATGGCCCAAACCCCCAGACATCCTACAAGAACAAAATATTTCAAATATTTTCAAATTAATTTCCTATTTTAATAAAGCAAAGCAAAATCTTTTGCATTTCACTGACATATGTCTGAGAAGAAGAGGGCTTGATCAAAATACCCTTTTTGTTAAACCTTTGCCAAAGTCAGGATAGCAAGCATGTACCAGTGAGATGAATGTATATTACTTCTTTCTCCTTGAGACTCTCCTCAGACTCTTCTTGCTACTGTAAGATCCATATCCAAAAGCTAGCAGACCATGAAGTGTAGAGCAATGCAGAAGTGGCTTAAAGGTACAACTCAAAATGTGAGGTAAAACAAAGGCCTCTCAGCCTTCTCCATGTGATGAGCCATTGGTTTTTAGTCAAAAGGAGCCTTGTCACAGCTTGTGGAGAGCAGAGTGAATTCAGTGCTTCCCTTTGTACCTGTGAACTTCTACTAAAAGTTATTACACACCCCTACTGGGCTTGTCATAGAGCAAAGAGGCTCCTGAGAGCTTCCACAGGAAGAGTGAGGATTCTCCCAGAAGAAGCAGGGCACAGATACAAGGGAATGCTCTGCTGGCTCCTGGTGGAGGGGGAGGAAGCAGTAGTGCCTCCTCATATACTTCATCTAAGAAGTTGCTGGTGTTTTTTGAGAGAAGACTCGTGACGCTGTGAACTAGAACTTCACTGGGTAGAAAGTACAAGTCCTGATGCTTTTCTCTTGCACAACAGAGCAGGTCAGAACAGAGGCAACTTGTTCAGATATAAATGCCTGCATGGCGTTCTAGAGAGCAGAGGGGTTTATACTGAGCTAATATAGCACCTCTCCTCGCAAAGAGATAATCAACCAGTGTTGAAATACAACTTCACTCAAGTGAAAGGAAAAATAAAGCATTTCCCCTCAGCACAGAGGTAGAAAGACAAAAATCATGGCAATTAAGGAAAAAATTCTTTTCTATGAAAAGTATCACAGGTTTATTATCATCGTTTTCAGAGTGGGACTGGAACTTTACAGTGAATCCAAATTCACCAAGTGATACTTTCACAAGTGAGACTTTCTGAGTGCAAGTCCAAACTTTCTCCTCCCATTACTTGAAACTTGATTTCTAGCTTCTGTTCATCAGTAACACAAAGCAACAGTATCGCACCTCTTTAACCTCCCTCTTTTTTTGTTGTATTTTGTAACCTGGTACAAATAACCAGTAGCAGTAGTAAAAGCAACTACTGTTTCCTGTTGACGCTTGACAGAATTAGGCAGAACTCATCTATGTTTCCTCCTCAGCATCCAGATGCACTAACAAAACCTTTGATATTTGGTATTTTATCCCTGTATCTTCCCCTAGAAGCTCAAATACGAAACATGATGCTTCTCCATGACTTGTCCCACTACTACAGAGAAATTGAGGGAACTGAAATCCTATCAAGAACCTTTCAGTCCAGTAAGATACTAACTCCACTTCAAATTCCTTCTCGTCCAACTTTCTCACAAGACAGGTAAGAACAGAACTTGTAAAGGTAAATGATTCTATTAGAAGTATTTGATACCCATTTGCTGTTACCGAAAGTATTTTCTAATGGTTATGTTTTTCTGGCAAGACACAATTTTTTCTTTTTGTTTTAATGAAACAAAATGTTTTCTACTTTGTGCAATAGTCTGTCAGTTCCCTGGGAAATACGTGGATTACACCTGAAAAGAGGACTGCTAAAATATGTTATACTGTGGCTTTAGGGCTCAAAATCTCCTGAAGTAACTTTCATAAAGAGTAAAACCAACATGTATATTGTATTTCTAATTTGGAAAAAATTAGCATATTTCACAAACCAATCACCAACATGTTATTCTTTGATCTACTCCTGTTTTGAACCTTTTTTTTTTTTCCTAGATTACAGGTTGACTTAGAATTATTGAGATAAACTTTAAAATTAAAAATTAAAATTACAGGAAGCCTGCATTTTGCTTTCATAGTCATCAATGTGTAATCAGGAAGTTTCAGGAATCAATGCATTTTTACTATATTTTACAGGCCCAATTATACTGTTAGCTAGGGGGCAGAATTCCTGCAGTTTTTAAAGTTCTGGAAAGCTGAATCTCCATGCTGCTCAGTACTCATGACAAATTTTTTTTGGATCTAAATTTCTGTTTTTTACATACATAACAGATTCCAGAGTTAGCCTCAAGTCCTCCAGTGTTCTTTCATGTGAGATTTTATCTCTGTTGCTAGCAAAATCAATTCTTAGTTTCCATCCTACTGACAGCCTTCTGGTTTACTATTACTGCTAACTTATTCCATTATTTGTAATGTCTCATATTCAACATCTGAATTCCAGTCAGAGTATTTTGGTATTATTGGATTATCACACTTGTCAAACTGTGCCTTGATGCCTCCCACTTATGTATCTTCCCTGAGGCAAGTTTTTGTTGTATTCCTTGCCTTACAGGAATTTGGGTGAATTTCCATCTGAACTGTTTTAACTATTGACAGATTTGAAAGTTTACTGAATGCTAGGTCTGATCCAAATTTTAGTGAATGTACAGGAAAGATTCGCTTTGGCTACACAGGATACCCAGCGAAAGGAAAAATTAAGCTCAGAATGGGCTGCGATGTCAGGATCTGAACGCACTGGCAAAGCATCTTTCAGATGACAACTATGTTAGACCCAACACTGAAACACAAACAAGAAATAGGCATGGCCAGGTCATAACATTTCTTTTCTCTGTGAACAGGAAAATCTGTATTGTAATACAGGAAGTAAGCTACATTTTCCTGCTAATGCAAACACACACTCACATGAACTCACCAATTTATACCTGAAAAGAAGGTGGCTGCCTGTTTTACAATATCATACATGTTTTTAAAATGGTGCATTTTTTTCTAGTCACATAATTACAAGCAAATAAATAAACAGAACACAGTTGTTCTTGGCTTTTAGAAATCTGCATCCATGAATTTATTACATTATCATCTTGGATGAGAGTATTTGTTACCAATATTCGCACTGATAAACGCCCATGAATAACCAGAGGCACGTCTGTGTATTTGTATAATGCTAGGTTATATATATACGAAGAAGGTACCCTAAGGATTTTACCCTGTGATCAGATAGTCAGATTCAGTGTTGATATACTAAGATGATGTATATAGTTATTTATATGTTTATTGGGCAAGAGTTAATTAAAAAAAAGTTCAGCTATTCCCACCCCCCAAAAAATTCACTGAATTCCAAATCAGTATGTTGATCAGTGACTATGTCTACGTTAGCAAGTATTGTGGACTACAGGAGAAGATATGCAGAGTGCAGTAGTTGGTGCTGAGGATCTGAGGTCCAGAAAAAAATGCATGTCAAGGTGCTCTTTACTTTGTATTACCTCTAGTGTGATTCCAGGGACTAAGGGTCCATTTGTGGCTGTGGTGCCCTCCTGGTGTGTTCGTGGAGCACATCTTCCAGTTAATTTCATCCAGAAGAAACCCAGTTCATATACTCCAAGACCAAGGCACTGCAAAATAGAGACCATTGGGAGATTCATGTCAAAAGTGCACTCCTGATCCAAATTAAAATGCCAGTGTGAATGCACCCTATGTGAACTCATACAGAGGCAGGTCCTAATCCTATCCCTCTAAGAACTCTCTTTCCACAGACCTTCTGGATGCTGTTGGCAACACACCCCCTCAGATGTGTTGGCTTCATGCACTGATCAAATCAGTTACTGGAGCCCTTCACAAGCTCACAATGTAAGACACTGTATTCATGCACTCTGGTTTGAGCTCCCCACAACAAAACAAATTTGAAGGGAAAAGTGTAACTTTTTAAAAATAAAGGAGACATTAGCAAACTAATGTTCTGATCCCAGAATGCTAGCTTTTTTTTTTCGTCAGAACAAAAGATCCAGAAAGCTGGAAGTTGGCTGTCAGAATTCAGAATAAATCTACAATTGTGGAAGTTATAAATGGTAATAGTCTCTACTAAATCACTGACTATATTGCTGAGACTCTTAAGGACTGTTCGTGATACACTCTAAAACGTTGTTCACCCTAGCCCTCATTTGATATTCTCTGGGCAGAGGCATTTTTTTCTGTGTCCTTGAGATCTTCAGCATCACTGGATCAATATCAGCTGTAAATGTTTCTTTGTGAGAAGGCAACTTGGAAACATTTTAAGCTTAACAAAGTCCTGTTTGGGCTGAATGGATGATCAGACCTTTGTGTGCAATGCTTCTCTTTTCTGTCTAAAACAAAGTGGTTGTTCTGCAACTTAGTAACCTATAGATAGCAGCCAACAGGGATGATTTATTAATGTTTCCAGTGAGAGTCAGCTTAATGAATACAAACACTGCAGCCATGCAGGTGACTTGGCATCTGCTTGCCTACTTTCAGAAAGGGGAAACAAGGCTTTAGACAGAACTTAAGAAATGGATGCTTGAGTTCTTTCAGAAACTTAAAAACAGAAAAGCTTTCTGATAATCTAGGGCACATCAGATCCTTATTTTGCCTCATCGTACGATACATATTGCTCTTCGCATCCTGGCAAAATGGATAAAGGAACAGCACCAGGCAGCAGCAGAGTGGTGCTGAACCACATGGAAGGAACTACATGATAGGAGGGCACTGTGCTGCCAAGGAACCAGAGAGAACAAAACACAACACAGCAGCACTGTCTGTGTCTTGTAGATCATGATCTCTCCCATAAATTTCCCTAAGATCCGTTTAGGTATCTAGGACTCTGCCACAGTTTGAGTCTAAATGTGCTCTGAGAAGAAGTTTTTGGTTTTTGTAGCCATTAGCTTTTCTTCCTCAAAAGCCTATATGCATAATGAAGGTCAGGATTGTAATGTTCATGGAAATGCTCATAGCCACATAATAACGAGCCTATTTCCCCTCACATTTTAGGACATGTGGGCTCAGGAATGTTATTCTACCTTTGAATCAATGTAAGACAAGTCGGAATTAGGGGAACCTTACACCTGAAAAACACCATAAGCCTGAATCTAACTAGTACCTGCAGAGTCGCACTTTTTCCCAGTATAGCTTAATGAAAAACACCCTCTTTCTCCATCTCCAAAGTAATGATCAACACTAGCAAAGATTAATAACGTCTCTGCTTAAACAAGGATTTCTTTAGCTGATACACCTTGCTCCATCAGGAATCATATATCCAGAAACCTGGAGCAACACCATACTTTGGAGCACAGGGCAGAGAAACCCAAGTTAACTGGGAGCAAGTTGGAATATCTGCATGATTCACCACAGCCTGTGCTGTGATAGCAGTGCAGTGGCTACACCACAGCCAACAAAGGCACTCCTACTGCTCTGCAGCCATGTCCAGCTGCTTGACTCATCAGTAAAGAAACACCCAATATCAGAAAAAGATGGTAGTACAGATCATGTCTAGCTAAAGCAAGAATCGGGGCCACTCAGTGATGGAAGGGCTGACAACAAACACAGACATGGCTGCTGGTTCCCAACCCATTCACCTAAACATCACTCTCTCTGGTTTCATATGAATGAATACAGCACGCCAGTAAAGCATCCCGAGGGTGACCATTGCCCTCACATACCACAACGATTTGTTACTTCCTTGATAAGGTTTTCAGAAAATCCCTGACAACTAAGTCGAATTTAAATCACTCACTTTGGCTCTTATAGAATCATAGAATCATAGAACATCTCTAGTTGGAAGGGACCCATAAGGATCATCGTGTCCAACTCTGCTCCTCGCAGGACTTATCTCCTTAATAAGAGGATGGTTGGCTGTGCATGTGTTCTCCTGACTGAAAATCTGTTGCCACCCAAAAGGAAAGGAAGCCTTAAATTTCAGTGAGTTTGGTGTCCATCTTTACAACACTGTAAACCAAAACTATGTGAGGTGAACATGCATCTAAACACATCGAACTGCTTGATTTCAAATGACACAGATGTATGGAAATGTACTGAATATCCTCAGCCACTAGCACATCCATGTGAAGTGCCTGACACAGCTTGCATTCAGTGTGAATTACAGCTACTAAACAGTAACATTTCTCACCCCTTTCTAGAGATGGAGAGGGGAGGTTTTCAAAGGCACAAATAACAAATTTTGAAATCAGTGGGAATTAGATGCTAAAGCTGCCATCTGTGCCATTGCATATATTCGCTGCCCATATGCCACTTACGTAGTACTGAAGGGACAGTGCAGGTTTCTATGTGCTGGCAGCTGAGACTCAATTATGCTGTAAGATGTACGTGCTACCCGTATCTAGCACCTTCTTTCTTGCTCTCACTGATCAAACTATGACAGACTTTATTCAACCTTCATTAAACAATTGCCAATCACTTTTGTACTTAGTTCTCCTAGTGACAGTTCACAGCAATAGCATTACCCAGAATAAGACTAACTCAGAGCCAAGAAGATAATGCCAAGTTGTCATTGTTTAAAAGATTTCAAGTAAGCATCACTGTTGTTGCCATTAAAGGACATTTTGGTGGTTTTTTTTCTTTCAGATATAAAGAGTTCAGGGAATCCCTTCACTGCTGCAAGCTTCCCTGGGCAGCAGAAAGGGAGCATGGAGGAATTGCACTACCTGTACTTCCAGAAGACAACTGGGCAAAGGATAAGTCTCCATGTACATTTGTTAAAGGACATCAACATTATAGTATAGGTGTAGACCCTTGGCCAAGGTAGGCTAGACATATACTTCTCACAGTTAAAATGTTTAAGAAGTGAAGTGTTTTTAACAATAGCAACAGACAGCTAAAAGGTTAGACAGCAATGTAGACTGAGATGTGCAAATATCTGCATTCCAAAAATGGGCAATTTAAGCTTCTGCTCTTCTCACAATGCCCTAAATATTAACATGGGAATATAGTGGTACCCACAAATCTCCACACAGTGTTCCGCTGAAACACCTAAAGTTCCAAATTTCCGTATTTTTTTTTTTTTGCCCATCATTTGATAATTATTTACTGTTGGCTGTTGTCCCAAACACCCTTCCTGACCTTAAAAATGTCTCTACTGGCCTAATTTACAGCATCCACAAATCCCATAGGCATAAACATGACAAGTCAGTGCTCAGCTTTTTCAGAAAGCTGTTGCAAAAGAAGAGATCTGTCTAGACAACAGCTGAGGGGGAGAGGTCTGGCGTATGCTTTCTGAGTCAGGCCTCCTTCTCCTCGCCTCTTACCACAACCAATTTCTTCTTTAGAATATATTGGGGTTGGTGCCACTTCCACTGAAACTAGTTCCAAAAATTCTTGTTCATCATGATAGCATTGGTCAAAAAAATCCCAACAACTGACTAGCTGGTAGATAAATAGATAGATAGATAGATAGATAGATAGATAGATAGATAGGCAAACGATAATGCCAAATCTCTGTTGTTCAGACACTCAGGTAGGTTTCAGATCACTGCTACTGACTTACATGAAAGCTTTGAAGACAGAACATGCTGCTGCTTAGGGCTGACTTGGAGAAGTTCAAGGATAGCCTTCAGCCCTACAGGCTTCCCTGAAGAACAGGAATGGAAGATGCAGATTAGGCATCTGAATGACTGTCCAAGCATTAAAACATGACTCAAAGACTGGAAACATGCCTTCCTGTCCTTGTTCTCTGCATTATCATGAACTAGCCTCTCTGTAAAATGATCATAGAATCATAGAATATCTTGAGTTGGAAGGGACCCATAAGGATCATCAAGCCCAACTTTCTACTCCTCGCAGGGCTACCTAAAACTAAACTATATGACTAAGAGAGTCGTCCAGATGCTCTTTGAACTCTGACAGGCTTGGTGCCATGACCACTTGCCTGGGGAACCTGTTCCAGTGACAGACCACCCTCTCAGTGAAGAACCTTTTCCTAATGTCCAATCTGAACTTCTCCTGATGCAGCTTCATATCATTTCTGTGTGTCCTTATTGCTGGTCACCAGAGGGAGGAGATCAGCACCTCCCCCTCTGCTGCCTTCCTTGAGGAGGTTGTAGACTGCGAGCCTTCTCTTCTCCAAACTGAACAAACCAAGTCACCTCAGCTGCTCCTCATAAGTCTTGCCCTTGAGACCTTTCACCATCTTGGCTGCCCTCCTCTGGACACACTCTTAATAGTCTGATGTCCTTCTTACATTTGAGGTGCCCAAAACTGCACACTCAAGGTGGGGCCACACCAGTGCAGTGTAGAGGACAATCACCTCCCTCAACTGGCTAGCTATGCTGTGCTTGATGCACCCCAGGACACGGTTGGCCCTTTTGGCTGCCAGGGCACACTGCTGACTCATATTCAACTTGCCATCAACCCAGACCCCAGATGTCTTTCTGCAGGGCTGCTCTCCAGCCTCTCGTCCCCCAATTTGTGCGTATAACCAGGATTACCCCATCCCAGGTGGAGAATCCAGCACTTGCTCTTGTTAAATGACGGTGATGGGACCTCCATCCCAGGAGCATGACAAGGTGCTGTGATCCCACAGTGACAGGATTGGTGCAAGAATGCACAATGAGCTTGAAACAAGAATTTTCACTGCTCTTGTGTTTTTCTTTTCTGAATATGCAATCCCTTGGATTATTTGTTGTTCAGGCACACTCATGTAGAGCCCCTGATCCATCCAAGTGAACCCCACTCTGAAGAGAAAAAGAGGTCCAGAAACAAGCCTTCCCTTTTCCACAAGGTGGAAAATGCCCAGGTGGCATATAGTCCCATGTAGCTGTCTTCCTTTACATCCCTACCCTCACACTGCAAGCAAGCAAAGGTTTTGGCCAACTCAGGCATAGTACCTAATGAGAAGGTAGATGAATCACAGCGACTACATGCCCCATCTCAGAAAACCAACTTAGCAGTCAGAAAGGGAGAAAGGTTTGCAAGCTACTTTATAAACCCATGTTCACGACATCCATTTGTTGTTTGTCTTGGGCAACTCTCACAGTAAAGTGATACTGCAGAAGAGTTGTTCAGAGCATAGCCAGATGCTCACAATCCTGATAGTGCTATTGCAGGGGCAAATTAGATTAGCCTTTCCTCCACACCAAGTTTCTATATTACACAGATTAGCTTCCAGACAAGGAGCAGAGGTACAGTATCCCCAGTGGCACCACCTCCGCTGATCTCAATGAAACCTATGAGAGATACAGGATAGAAATTAATTAGAAACTTACTCGAGTGCAAACAATTATAGAGGAGAAAGCTGAAGTGGGCAAGATGCAAATGAAGTATTTTCATGGCTGTGCCTCTGATAGCACCCGCACAAATTTCAGTGGGGTAAGTATGAGAAGCCTAAATAAATATGTTTATAATACAGCTTGTAAATAAAACTTCAGGAAATATCCACAGTGAGAATTATTTGATTTTTATAGAGGAAATATTGCTTTTTCGTAAGAACCACACAAAAATACTTAAATAAAATCCCACAGTTACAGTTGATTTAAATATAACTTTCTAGTAAATAAGACATTACTAGATTATGCTGATATTGGTATTTTCTACATATGTGCAGGACTTTGGGCTGTGGAAGTATAGTACACAGGGCAAGCACTGGAGTCATACACTCTGTGGTTCTAAAACTAGTGGTAAGAGGGGTATGTTTGCTTGCGCTTCATTTTTTAAATCATTTTGTAAGATGTCTATGAAATTTTATGAGAAAAAAAGCTAAGAATGTATTTTCCAGTGCACCTCTACATAACTAATCTGTGGCTTTTATACATGCTGGCAAAATTCCTATGTATAAAACTACAGAACCCGAAGGAATTTTTGTTACATAAGAAACAAGGGGCTGGCACAGCTGGCTCTAAGAGGAAAATTAAATGATGCCCAGTGCTCCCCAGTAGATGCCAAGGTGCAGGGAGAGCACAGGGAGAACAGCTCATGCAAGCTTCTTTTTCCAAGTGGTGGAGTCACAGTCGGGTTCAGGTTGGAGGGATCTCTGGAGATCACCCACGGCCAGGGCTCTCTCCAAGTTACAGCCAAACTACTACAACTACACAATGCTCTTCTGAGTGGGACAGGCAGTTTCCAATACAAAAGTCATCCACCTCTTGATTCAAAGTAAGTACAAGGAACATAAAGGCGTCCTTTTACAGATACAACTGCTGCCACTTTGCAGAGGCACTGCTCCAGAAGACTTCAAATGTGATGCATTACTTATTGAGCCAGGCCACCCACAGGCATCAAACACAGAAGTAGTGAAAAGTGCATCTTCACAAACACAGTAGCTGAACTAGGCAAAAGCTAAGCATTTCCAGGTTAGTAGGTTTTTATTTTAATGATGGAAAGAGACTTTGTGTCATGGCAATCCTACATATGCATTGATCATCCCAAATCAGCCTTCAGACCTCTTAAATCCCTGGATTTGGCTCTAAAGTGAGCATTGCTGCTCCATAGTCGCACCCTCCCGTGGCACAGTCTGTCATTAGGAAGCACCCTCAGCACCAGCTGTCCTGTCTTAAGGGTGCACGGGACCTGGCCTCCGGGATGGAAGTTGGGTACTACTGTGGTGTGATGGGGCTGAGAGGGCAGGAGAGGAGTCTCAGTGAGTTTAGTTTAAGACAGAGGTGCTCAGCACTTCTGAACACGCAGCCTTGCACAAGAGCTGGAATGCTAAGTCTGACCCTAGATGCCCACATTGCTCAACTGACAGCACCCGCGGCACAGAAGCTTGCATTACACTGGACAGTGCTAATGTGGGAAAGTGCTTAAAGGGGAAAGAAGACAATAACCATCCTGAACTCGTGGTCAGACCCAGAGTACTACGAGCATATTCCCGTTGGACTGTGCTATAACCCCAAGCCTTGGGAGCCCACTGAGCCAGCCATAACAGTCAAACAAATCCCTTCTGATTCAGCATGATTCCTCTTCCTTTCTTGCAGCCAACATCTCTTCTTCAGCCATGCAATTAAGGCCACCCATTCCTTTCAGCAACAGACACTTGATTAGACTCTTTGGGTCAAGCTCAGCTTTAGCAAGGCCAGGTCAGGAGTATAAGCCTATTTGTAATACCAGGAAAATCTTACTGGTTACGGCTGATTTTTCCAACTGCATTTCCTTCATTTTGGCACTCCCATTTGCTCTCTCTTCTGTTGCTGGGGGTTTTTTTTGTGTTTTTTTTTTTTACCTGATGTCCCATACTAACTGCTTTGTTTTCCGTTTTTTAAACTCAACGACAGGTATGGTGTTGTCTTTTCGTCAGATTCTTTTCAGTGAAAAGGCCCATGCAGTTTGGCTGGATTCTGGGAGCCTTTTGGCATCAGAAGGAGCTGAAAGTGATCCCCATAATGTAGGAATAACTTAACTCCTTATAGGAGCAAAAGTTGGAGCCTGCACCCATTCAAGGCATTCCTACAGCTCCTACTGAGTGTTAGGGGTGCATGGTGAGGAGCTGTAGGGGCCAGGCCTTCCGAGGGGGAAGTACTCAACATTCTCAGGAACTCTGGATTCAGGCACGCGTGCTTAGCACCTCCAAAGTCTAGCCCTGCATGACTTAGATTTTGAAACTGACGATAGATTTCTACACTGGTAGCATCTATGAGTTTTGATATTAAGGGTTATCTGAGAAATCAAGACAAAAACATATCAATTGATTTGGATTTTTATAAGCAGATAGAGCATAAGCTTTCTACATTTATGCTTTCTCTTTGCACAGAGGCCTTCCCACTGAGCAGTACTGTGATGTCACCCAGCTGAAAAAAGTGATGCGAGTATGTATGATGAGCTGTAAGTTTAAACTGTGCGTTAACCAAATTGTGCATTTAGTGAATATAACAGCAAACTGAATATTCATTCCACTCTGGTGATATTACGCACATCGGATATGAAGTGCAGCTATGATATGAAATCCAAAGGGCCATGTTCTGTAAAAAGGGATTAGCTAGTAACAAAGAAGAGCAAACACAGTTGGGAAGGAAATTCAGAATACAGCATTGTGCCCCTTCAGTTTAGTCTCTTTTCAACAAGGGTCTCTGAGTTTGTTTTACAGGTTGTCCATACTCACCAACTTGTAATACTAAAAAATATTAGCCTTTCTACTAGTTAGAATTCAGATTAAACTGAAGTAACTCAAGTAACCATGACACCATGTGTATTTCACTCCATTTTTCTGCTGTATTTATATAGATATATTTTTGGAGGGGGCTTGGCAAGGATTGTTTTCCTCACTGCTGCTGTTAAAGAGAAATCAGAGTGAATTAGGATGCTGATGGAGTTCTGCAGTCCAACATTTTGCCACTTGATGGCACCAGCAAAACGCTTAAATTTGATCAAACTACTGAGATTTTAGATTACAGCAATTTAAAGTGTAAATGTAAATTCTTCAAAAGCAGAAAATGAACAAGTTACGCCTCTCGTATTAGCATTGATAGCTAGACCATATTAGAAAGCCAAGAATAATTCTGCAAAGGTTCCTGTCAGTTATCTTTACAGGGCTACAAGGGGCGTTGTTTGACCCCACCACTCTCCTTTTAGCTTCCCTGCATGTGAGGTACCTGCTTCCCATTTCGTGTAAACTCAGACACTCTAGAAAAGCAGGAGAGCTAACTGTAAATAGGCCACAGAAGCTACACAAGGAAACCTGCAACCTTGCTCTCTGTAGTTCACTTCTCTCTTTATTATCTCATTACAGCATGCAGCACAAGCAGAAGCGAGTTCGGTTAACTACAAAAGCGTACAAGCCAAAACTCCTTTTTCCTGGGACACCTTATTGCCTTTGACCAGCATTGCACATTAGAAGCATTGGCGGTGCTGCTTCTGCAGAATTTGATTACCAGATACAAGGAAGTAGCAAAGTTTCTCTGCAGGTTTCTTCCTACAAGTTTCCTAAGCACCAAGTGACAAGAACTGGCTCGTGCACTTTTGTAAGATAATGGAGCACCTTTAAAGTTGTTTTAAAACCAACATCCATGCAAAGTGGGCACTCTCATATTGCACAGTCAAGCTGGGTGGTTCTGTTTTATTACCTAATCCATCCTCAAGAAAACTCCATCGACTGCAGTGGAATGACGCTGGGGAATAATCTAGTTCACTGTGACTTGCTAGTCAGATAAGTGTACTGTTATGTGACATTTATATGGGTATCCCTGAAACAGCAGAAACACAGACAGATTGTGGAGTGAATTAAAAACTGCGCTTTGCATGGGGTAGGAAGCCTGCTGTGTTTTCAGTGAGTCCTAGGCTGGCCAGCCTCAAATGATTCTTGGTTCAGGATGCTCTGGGACACATTCACTTCATAGCAAGAGTGTTCCTCGTGCCAGCTGCTCACCAGACTGGATCATCCATGTACACAGGGTGAGGTAGAGATCATGGCACCTTTCTGGGGATTTGCTTCCCTAAGAGGAAGTAACCAGGGACTACCGTGACTCTATGTCCTTGTGCTAGCTGTATAAGGAGGAAGGAGGTTTTACACAGGAGTAGGTCAAACTCTGCCCTCGTCCATACTGAAAAGTACCTGACCTTAGACTCCGGATATTTCATCAACAGCACACTGATGTACTCTCTTCATTATTTTGCACTCATATCTTACCATGAAACATGCTGGGTCTCTAAAAATATTTTATGGTCTATGCTTTGTCCTCATTTGAGCATTTTTTTTTCCTATAAGGTTGTATTTTCTTGGTCTTTGAAAGGCTTTTAAATTGAAGGAAAGAATATATCCTTTAAAACAAAAAGTGAAATACACACACAAAAAAATCTTCCATGTTCATAGTCTAAGGTCCTTCAGAGCAAATATTCTTCCTGCTGTCAGGGACTATTAGGTGGTGACAGCCACATGGAACCTTTCCTGAAAAATACCCTCTGAGTGGTGCTCTGCAGGCCTTCCTGGGAGCTATTAACGCTCAGTTTATTTACCTTATAGCCTGTGAGGGCTCCTTTGAGCCATTACTGTCTTTTGTGGGAAATGAATTACCAGGCATTTGCAATAACTCTGTACACTTTCATGGGACAACTATGCCTTTGCCTTAAGTATGCACACTACGTATCCTTGCGCAGTTTTGCACTAAAATGAATCACTGGGTTTGTGCAGATGTGCTTAAGTGCATTAGCAGTGGGCCACACGCACATGCCTTCCCAGTCAAATGTACTGTAGTTGTCCCATCCCATCTAAAGGTGTAATAAGTCCTCAAGTTCACATCAAACAAGACTGCAAAAATCCTGAAAGGCCTTGAAAAACACCCTTCAGCCATTGCCAAGAACCCTAGTTATACACACACACACACAACATCAGGCTAGAGCATTTGCAGCTGTCCTTCCAAAGACAAGTCACACCAATGAGGTTTTTGGTGGGTTCAGTGACAGCACCAAATGAATCAAACCTGGCTTTTTTCCATGTGGGTTTTTATCTGCTTTCACTGTTTATCATGCCACACCACACTTCCATTCCTCTGGCTGTCCCCCAGCCCCCTGACCCCTGGTGGTCCCCTGCCCCGCAGCTCTCTGACCAAGCAAGTTTTAAGGTTAGGCAAGATAAGTGATTGTCTTCCTTTGCAAGAATAAAGGGCTGCAGAGAAAGCCAATTTACACACGTTTTATCCTCCAGTCATAATTTCCTTCCTGTTAAAACTGGCAAGAGTGATACATCTTATTCTCTTAATAATTTACAGAGTACGTCGGAAATTAACAGGAAAGAGCAGCAAGAAGTTATCTATCTAGAAAAGAAGCTGAAGGTCATGACGCTCCCCACACTGCATCACTCTCAGGCCAACACCACACCTGAGAGAAGAAACAGCTCTTCAGAGGCTCCTACCATGTGTCGGAGAGTAGAAAAATAGCGGGAAGTGGGAGCTCCTCATGAAGGTCACACAGGTTCCAATGTGTCTTTTATTACCATTACTGAACAAGTGTGTCCCTGCACCCAGTGCTTGGCACTACATTGGGAGGGGAGCTGCAGAACTACTGCAGGTGAAGCCAGGGTTTCCACAAGGATACTCTCTCTCACATGAAACTCAGTTTATGCCTATTTTATCAAAAAGTCTTTGATGAGTGCCCGCAGTGCACTCATGGCTAGGGAAACAAGATGGTATCCATCTGGACCACTCCCTGGATTTGTTCTGGGGCTTTCCAAACTGGGAGCATAAGTCCCTCCAGCTTGAGTCTGACTTCTTTTCAAGAGACTGATAGACTCCATATCCTCTGTGCACTGAACATAAAGGGGCAGAAAACAAAATACTTAGGAACTGTTTCTTGTGTGATACTGGCAGACTCCAGCAAAAGTCTGCTAGAACTCCAACGAAAGCATCTCGGTGCCAAATTTGGGAAGTTGCTATTCCTTTCTTCCCTTCCAGCCAGAGCTCTGCCTTTCTATACTGCCATCCAGAATGGATGGCTTCAGGCTTGATTACCCAGTTTCAGTTTTAAAAATATATGGAACACTCTAAACAACTGTCCACCTTTGGTAATGCAAAGCTTTGCTGGCTGTTACAACCTGGGCTCACAAAGCTTCTCTAAATCATGGCAAAGTCATGAAAATGCATGTTCATCCTTATTTTATTGCTGCCTTAAGTTTAGATGTTATAATGAAAAGTGCTCTACAAAGGCACTCAAGTAGTTCTGCCATGCCAGAGCACAAAGCAGACTGACTGTCCTTATTTTTGCATATTTGTATCAGGAATATGTCCAATGAATGCAATGAACAATGTAACAATTCACATTGTAACACAATGGAATGGAAATGGAAATTGAAAATACTTCTTAGTGTTTATTTTCAATTCACATTGTGTTACAATTGTAATTTTCCTTCATGTCTGCAGCACCAGTAGACATACAGCACCAGTTCTAACTGTAAAAATGGAAAATCAATTAGAAGTATCTGTGGAATAAATTTTAAAGATTGCTGTTCTGTAAGTATGGCTATTTCTGCAAAAGCTTTCCGTTTTGAAGACAGACAAAAAGTTTGAATCAGAGTCCCAGGTCGTTATAAATATAACAATGTACAAATGGTTGTCAGAATCCAACATTTTGATTAAGTCTTGTTATCTTTGTAGCATCACACATTAAAAGTAGATCTCTTGTTCAGCTCAGTCGAGGCATGAGTTATGCTGTCACGGTAACTTGTGAGATACCACACCTCATGTTGATTGCACTGAGTCCCGTGGCATCACAGCACAGATTTCACAATGGAATGCGTGACTTCTGCACGTTGTATCAGAACATGTGAATAAAATTGATCTGGCACTTGAAGTTTATCTTCAAAACACCCATGCCAGTATGGAAAGAAATAAGCACAGGACTGTATTTAAATTCTTTGAGCAAGGGGGCATGTCTGCTCTTTGTGCAACACCTATTTTTACGGAGACTAATTCAATGATGGAGCGGCCAAGTTGCAGCTCTTGAGTCACAGGGGACCTGAACACGGTTTGGGTGCAGCTCCCATGCCACGGCTCTGTCATTAACCAGGCTACTGAGTAATCCCCAGCTGTGGGAGGAAGAGAGCTCCCACAGGAACTGCCAAGGCTGAAATGATGGAGTCCACGTGGGGCCCATTAACATCCCACACGGCTCTGTCCTCAAACTGAGCAAGGGGAGGAGTCCTGAGAAGTTATCACTTCACACCTCCTGCTTGGGAATGAATCTGGGACATCCCTCTCCTCAGTGAGAAAAACAAGGGGGCAATATGAAGAGTTTGGTATATGGCTTGTAGAATCAAGAAACTTTGTTTGATCACTGTACAGATAATAAAGCTTAAAAAAAGACTACCAGCAGTCAATCTCTCCTACCCATATACAGTAAAGACCCTTTCAAGCAAGACATGGTAATTAAGCCTTCCTCATGAAATACATGAGATTTTGGAGCTCCAGGTGAACCACTTAGATTAGTCCAGTAATATTGTCTTTCAGGCATTTTTTTAATTATTTTTTTCATTATACCACAAAGAACCATTAAGCAAATTAATTAATTTTTTAATCTTAGACATTTTTCTGACTTGGTACAAATGCCAAGAGACTCTTAGCTAGCCTCAGTGATTAAATTCTTGCCCTTTAAAGTTAGTGTTTTCTTTTGATTGCTTTTTTAAAATTTATTTGAAGCATAAAATAAGTCTCCATGGCGAAACATAAATAATTTATCAGCATGGAATGAATAAGTATTTTCTCTGCAAGTAGAAACAGGACATGTTTTCTGTTTTGCATTACTGATAAAAGGATTTATTTTTACTAATAACACATACCATTGTTAATTAATATAAAGCTTATTACACAAAAGTGTAAGAGGATAGATTTTTCCCTCCCTCCTCTTAAAAAGACATTTTGCATATCACTTGTTCCTGGTGCCTTTTCAGTTTTTGGCACCTGGCAACACAAAACATTCCTCATGGAATGAGTAGTATCAGGCAGAATATTGTCTGCGCTGCTTACACATTGATTTGTCCCTAATGTATACCGATTGCACTGATTCAGATAAAATGTGGGAGGTGCAAATGAATGTGGGTCATTTCAGGTAACTTATTTATTATTTTTGTTCCCTAATATAGGCTTCATAAACCACCAGACAGTTTGGCTAAATAAGAACACTTCACCTACATTATATCTTATCTTTCCTTAATGAAATAAAAAGGCAAGTTGTTCCTCTTACAGCCATAATTGCACAGTGCAGGTGCCTTGTCAATAAGCAGCAGCAACACTACTAGGCAAAAAACCCTCGAATGAAACATGTAATGATAGGTTTAGCAGGTTAGCAGTGTTTGCCTAGCACACCCACTCTCCTAACAAATACTGATCTTGCTGACTTGCCTATGGGCTAATTGGGTTTTCTCAGCTGTGTTGTTCATGGCCTCTTTACCTAACGTGAATTAAAGTGTTTGGGAGCATCTACCAAGCACAGCTAAGGGATCTAAAGTATGTATAAAGCAGATTTATGAGACAGAAGCCTCAGAAAAGCCCAGCTTGGTAAGACATCTCGTTACATCATGATGCACAGCCTCAGGAATGAAATTAATTTGGCTCCTGTATAAGGTTGTGACTTTGCTTTATACAGCAATTGGGGAAAGGAGTTTGCTCTCAGTAAGCTGCTGTATGCAGCTGTGGTAAAGTTTAGAAGAATCCAAACAGGGTGCTAGTCTCTTGTACTGGAATAAACCGCTGCTTTCATTTTCCTCAGATGATTTCAGGATTCCCATGATTTGAATAAGTTTTTTAATTATTCTACCATGAAAAACTGAAAGCTGAAAAGAACAGCCACAGGAACGTGGGCATTCCATGAAATCCTGGTTCTCAGTATCCCATAAAACTCTCCAGTTTAGCTTTATCCTCCTTCCTCCCAGAAATAAATGTCTTCTTAGAGGCAAATTTTGATTTTACAAGCACAAACTCAGTTACTACTAATTGGAGCTGTGCAAGAATTAGAAGTCCACATTTACCTTCCCTTAAGCCACATAAAAGTAAATGTGAATTGGTATAACTGATTATGTACAAAAGCTGCAAGGGAATCATCGTTGTGAATTCTTCGCAGGGTGCAAGAAAGAGGGGATTAAAGAACTAAGATACCGCCTTTCTGATTCTTGCATCTTTCCCAGTTCTTGCAAAGTGTTATATTTAATGCTAAAACTCTGTGAAATGCAAAATAAGGAAATTTTCTTTCTTTCTGACCTTCTTCCTGCCAACTCAAACCAATCCAAGACCACTGTGCCTGCCATTTCCCACCTCTCATCCCTACCAGACACACATCTCTAGGTACACAATGTTTGCAAACTTCAGATCACCTGAGGATCAAGACACTGGGATCGATGCAAGCAGTCATCAGTCTTTCCATCCCAATATCCCTACGAAGGCTTTTGATGTGGTTGTTCTAAGGAAGACCAGACTTAAGACTGCACTCTGTTGCTTTACCATTTATTCTTGAAACTTACATAGAAACACTACTGAAGTCATGACTCTCTTCTACTGAAGCTTAACAGAGACAGAATCCGAATCTATCAGTGGTCAAGCTAAGCATCTTGGCTTAAATTAGAGCTCTATGTGCTGATAGCTGCAGTGTCCATGGAGGATACCTCAGCACTGAGAATTATGAATAAACCCTATTCATGTGAATGCCTTGCAGCCTCAGAAGCCAGCAGAGCTATTAACATAGCTGCTAATCCCCACAAAAGCAAGATGGATTATTTAGTGTATCTGACATCTTCTGTCAGGCAAATAATTCTTCACATTCCAACAGAATGGAAGAGAAAGGAAAAAAATGCATCAGTGGGATCAAAACCTAGCAATTTTGGGGCCAAAGTCATGCCTGCCATACCTTTGCTGAGGACAACAGAGGTACCCCTGAAATGAGAGCTGACTGATTTAAAATATTTTATCACTACACAGATGGTAGAATAAGGTCCAGGGAGAGAAAGCAACTCTTCTTATCGCTTACAAAAACTGAGAAGAAGCCCTAGACACTCATTATTTACAGAACACCATGTAAGCCATCATGAGGTCTTTGTTTTTAACCCCAGCAGCATTTTACCCTGAGAGTGTTTTACACAATACATTGGAGGAAAAGGGCATGAAATTTTTGTTCTTACTCTGGTTTTCCCTGGAGGCATTCAATGACATTGGGATTTTGACAGGTACTTTGTTTTGGAAGACTTTAAAGATAACCTGCATGAACTGATGAGGAGTCCTTGGCAGCTGCTCGTCGCACAGGGTTATGGGGAATTTGGGACAGGAGAAAGTCAGCACCTCTGTGTGCCATGGCAGTGCTTGCCAGGAAGGGTTTGGCAATAACTGTGTAAAACAGAAAAAGCATACGCTGGCATGGATAATAAGAAGCTTTTCAGCAGAGTAAAAGCTGATAATGTTAAGTAGGAGGTCAATTTGCACTAATTAGCTGCCATTCGCAGTCATCAGCACAGTGCTGTACAGTTATGTATATAATTGGGTACACGAGCCATTTTTAGTGGAGTATTTGTCCATCCAAACACAAAATCTTTCCACAGAATATGTAATGCTAGGAGTAGTCATTTTTAGTCAGTTTTCGTTGATCGTTGGTCAATTTAAGAAACACTAATCATGTGTGTAGGTGGGCTTGCAAAGCGTATTTTTGTACAACAGGAGGATCATCGGAGGCCAAGACCTATTTCCAGCAAAGCTTAGCAGGCTCAGAATTACTAGCTAAGGAGCCAGCTACCACTGGCACTTAGGAAATACTTTAACTCCATTTGCTGTTCCCTCCATACGGTTTGAATTCCACTGAGATCAAGACACTCCAGTTCTCAGTGACTGAAGGAGAAATCTCCGGTTAAGTAGAGACAACCCAGACCACACTCAGGTGACTTAACACTGGAAGGTTGTATTTAAAAGCTTTGTGCCTTTTCCACATCTCACTTTTACAAAACTCAGAGTAGCTATTATGTAGTTAATGCCGACATTGTTGTGAGGTAAATAGGGAAACTGAGGCAGCAAGACTGGAGAGAAAAAGCAGTGATAGAACCAGGGTTGGAAGTTAAGCTCTTCCAAGCATGCACTGCAGTTTCATTTTTATAAGACATCTAGTAGCACTCAGTTTTCCACTGAGATCAAGACACTCCAGTTCTCAGTGACTGAAGGAGAAATCTCCGGTTGAGACAACCCAGACCACACTCAGGTGACTTAACACTGGAAGGTTGTATTTAAAAGCTTTGTGCCTTTTCCACATCTCACTTTTACAAAACTCAGAGTAGCTATTATGTAGTTAATGCCGACATTGTTGTGAGGTAAATAGGGAAACTGAGGCAGCAAGACTGGAGAGAAAAAGCAGTGATAGAACCAGGGTTGGAAGTTAAGCTCTTCCAAGCATGCACTGCAGTTTCATTTTTATAAGACATCTAGTAGCACTCAGTTATTCCTCTGATGGTGACATTATGAGTACAGGGCCAGCTTCACTGTTCATCAAGCTTTATTGTTTGTTGTTCCTGTTTTTAAAAATCATGCACAGAAAATGCAATAAGAATCTTCCCTGCTGGTGTGTGACTCAATCCAGAGCTCTTGCAATTGGCCATGGGCAGTTGGCCTTCTGCAGAGGCAGCTTCATCTAGTATAGGATCCAGCCCTCAGCTGCTTGTCACCACCTCTCTGCCTGAGACAACTAGCCTTGCAGATCTGGTGGTGCAGATAATCACATTGAGCGCTTCCAGAAAGACAGCTGGGTTAACTTATGCTGATTAAATGGGTGATCTGATCTAACCCTACTGATATTGTACCAAAAGAGTGAAGATGAGTTCTGCGTGCAGATCCATGAGGTCAGTCTCCCAAGGTAGAAGAGACATTAGCAGCAGCTCACAGAAAGAACCTCTTCCACCAGCATAGCTGTCTTTATAGTGAGCATATGTCTACAGCTTAAAATGCAGCTCCATCTGTCATTCTGATCAATGGTGTTCCATTAGAACATGTTAAAATATTTCCCATATAGGTAATCCATATAGGCATGAAGTTGTCAGTACTCTGACTCCCAGAAGAAGGCTGTGCACTGGCTGGGACAGCACGCATACTTCCAAGTACGTCGTTCATACAGAAAAGAGCAAAATGCCTTCTTTTTTTTAAATTGAACCCCTCTGCATCTCTTTCATGGGAGACATTTTTACACAGAGAGCTCCTACACTGTTCCAAACACTTGCAGACCATGAATTAGGCATCAAGCATACAAAGACTGAAAAGCTTTAGAGACAGTTTTCAGCCACCTCAGCAATATATAAACAAGATCAGAAGCTAGCAGGCTGTCCTGTGACTGAAGTCCTTTAAGTACTAACTAGCTCTCATAGGACCTATCCAAATAGCTCTGGAGACAAGAAAAAGAACAAGAAGCAACAATAATAGCTCCTGACCATACGTTTGGGGGAGGGGGAGGGAGGGCTTCATTCAGAAGCCCAGATTATGCTCTGCAGCCCTTCAAAGAAATGGGTTTGGGCAGCAGTAGATCTTTGCTCCTCCTTACCTCTCCACAAGTCCTGCTAACATACTGACAAGCTGGTGCCTCTACTTTCATGGCTTCAAGAAAATAGACATCCTCTTTGTGGATGGTCCTTGACTCGAACCTTGCCTTCCCCAGTGTAATGATGGAGACTGGGCTGGTCCATAAAACAAAAGAGTAAATTTGTTCACAAATGATCACATTTCGACTATTCTTCAGCTTAGCTAAACACTAGTTCTCTTCCCAAAGGGATGTAGCCTGAAGTTTGACGACAGATAAAAGTCATGAATAGTGTAGGAAAAAATAGTGGTGAACAAAGAAAGATACAGCCTTTGTAGACACACAGTTTTACAGATGTGGCAAGGGAAACAGTAAGTGGCAGTCCATTTTAAGCCAGTCTATAATTGTGACTACAAAAGAAAGCTTATCTAGCATGTAATGTTCTGCCTAGGTGTGGCTACCATGGAGAACTTGATTCTAAGTTATTTGAAGTGAGTTCCGCTTAATTATCTACCTGTTGAATCTTCCATTTGAGTAGTAATACTGTACTGAAGACATTTTTTCCACCACATTTTTACTTTTATTAGCATTTACTGAACAGATAATTGGGGGAGGGGAGGGCAACACAACACATGTTATTTCAAACCTTTAAAATAGTCTTTTCCATCCAGCACACATATTTGGTTCATACCTTACCTATTTCTTCTTATCCTTCAGCTTCTTAAGTTTGCTGAAGAAAAGGGTCAAATATACTACCCAAATCCACCAAAGATAGTGGCCCCCAACTCCACTTTTAAAGAGCTAGAACATAACCTCTCTCCACGAACAACCAATATGCTATGAAACACTGAAAGGGCTCTGGGGATCACAACATAGTTGGGATTTCACAGGTAAGCATTTTTTGTTAAATTAATTTACTTGGGATAGCAAAGAAAGACCACAAAGTGTTAGCCCCTAAATTTCTCAAAGAAATTAATTTTTTGTCATTTAGTAACAAAGGCCACAAAAACTGTAAATTATCTGAGGTTTTTCAGGGGGACTGTGCATTAATTCTGATTTTCCTTGCCAATAAACATGTGTGACAATGAAGTATGTCTCCATTAAGGAAGAGGTCCTATGAATCCCCTTATCGTGGATAACTATTACATGAAAGCAGTTGGCAGATTAACTGGAGAACTAGGTGAAGACACGGAACTAGTAAGTACTGCAGTTGCTAAGAATCTTATGCTTCCACCACAAGTAATACTGGCAAGAGTATTACCAGATTCAGCTAGCAGAATTTAGCCTTCCCTGTGATAATACTTAAGCGCAGGGCAAGGTTCACTCTAAAACAGAGGCAAAAGTTCTGTATACTAAATCAGTCCTGACACAGCTGGTTGACAGAATTTCTGTAATGGATTAATGACTTGTTCAGGGTTTGCAGGGAGGGAAATTATCGTGATTACCTGCTTATTTTTTATCTTATCATTTAAAGTTGCCACCAACACGTGACAGCAATTCGAACGACCTTTTGCCTTGAGAAGCATGAGTAACAGTCTCTATAAAACAAGTTGGCAGCTCTCATGTGAATGGTGCAGCACTGCAGAGACTGAAACATATTGGCTAGATGTTCAGCTGGTGTTAATCAGGACAACCCTACTGAATTCATCAACTGACTGTCTCTATTGCACACTGCATATCTGATAAGTGACCTATTACCGTTGCAGACTATTGCCTCCTTACTAACTATACCAGTTTAAGTTTGGCAGAGTTTCTATGATTCATCCTCCCCCATTTACATGAGTGATTTGCCTTTCTTCCTCAAGGGTGCATCAGTAACATTATCAGATTCTATTTTAATGCAAAGATTTAGTCTAAAGAATGTATAAAACTATACTGTAAAACTCCATATTTATTGTCTTCCACAATTTTTATATTCTGTGTGGCCTGTATAAAAGTGAAAAGATACTATTTCTATCAAATATTACTCGTGCAAATGAAGCATAACATGGTACATAAGCACAGCAAATCAAGTTGAGCTGTTTTTTGCTAATGCATCATTACCTGTAATGGCTTAAGCCATTCAGTGACACCTGCACATTGTCATGCCGAGTACATACACACGTCTAATTTATTCTAACTGACTAAGCAATTCTGCAGGTAAAACAGAAGGAATGGATTCCTGCTCACTCTTCCACAGCACTGCTGGCTTTACAGCACTTCTGGGTTCAAACTGCAGACATACAAGGAGCAGGGCACCTAAGTAAGATGCTGTCATTTTCTTATAGTCCAAAAATGGCCTTGGATAAAAAGTCCCCAGATTGTCCTGCTTTTTTTCTATTGGATTAAAAAAAAAAAATCCACGTAAGGAAATTCCTTTTGAAACGGCATTTACAAGTTTCTGATAATTGAATCCCTGTATCTGAAATGGAAAAGCTGTCTAGGTTTTTCTCCAGTGTTTTGAAGAAACAAATCTTAAGCTTTATGATGATGAACACTTTAAAGAACACTTTCAACAGCTTGTCTCTGGAAATGAAAATCCAAACCAGCAGCTTACGTTAATTCAAAACTGAGCAGTTTTATTGCCCTCTGGCTTCCGAAGTGTGATTGGCAGAGGCCTACCCTGGGCCATGCTGATTTATCTGGACAACATTATTCCACTTAAAGCATACATACATTAAATATCAAACACTTGGATTGTTCAGCACAGTAACTGGCTATAGGACTCAAATGCACTTTATGTTTGAACAGTTCCTATACAATGTGGCTTTGACTCTGCACCAGTATCTGAAGCTTCAGCAGTACAGATGATTAATACAGGGTAACAGTATTCAAGCAGTGGGTCAAACTGTGGTTGAGAAAGCTAAAAAGCGACATGTCAGTGAGCATCCTCAGTCCCACTTGCAATAGTTCATCAAAGAAGTTAAAAACACACTAATGCAAGTGACCATTTATACTGTCACATTGCTTATGAGACCACAAATGGGAAGACAGATGCTTATAGAAGAAAGGAGAAGAGAGCACAAGACATCTATACCCATTTATATCTTATGCATTGGGGCGGAGCAGAATATTTTCTTTTCCAAAGCATAAAGACTGACTCTAAGCTCCCTATGTGGCAGGGCAGTAATGAATGTCTGGGCTGCTTCCCTTTGTCTGGGAGACCCCTAACTGAGCCATTTCACTAGTCTCAGGCAATGGTCTGCTAAAATAAGCAGTCCCTGCTAAAATAAGAGACTTGGATGACAGTGTAAATCCTGTTACTTCCTCCATATAGAAAGAAACATTTCTGCCTAGTGCCTCACAAACGAGACCTCTTGAAGGGTGCACTGCATGTTTACTTCAAGGTCAATGTCCCCATGAATCAATTCTGCAGGAACAGTACTCCTCCAGTGCCCAGGTGCCTCTGCCTTTATTCAGGGTTCCTACTGTCATAGCCAGCGACTCAGGCACAACGCTGAGTAAAATAAAAAGTGGCCAGTCTGGGTCAGCAGTGTAAAGTGACAGAAAGCACAGACCAGAAATGGGATGTGAGCCAAGAGCAGGCCACTCTGTCTCAGACATGCTACCAGAAAGTTCATTATCTGGATACAAGGCTGCCAATAAACAAACTTCAGAAAATCACTGACACACTGCAAACAGAAGCATTGTACAGGGGGCAGCTTTCAGGAAGGCCTGAACTTGAATCCCTTCCAAAATCTGCATGTTCCCTTTCCTATGAAGACTTCAAGCCCAGACATTTGGATCAACACACAATATGGGAAAACCCGGTTAGTCTAAGTAAGCCAGGCTTACCACGGGATGTAAAGAGTAAGGAAAGGAGAATTTTGTTGCACAAGCTTTGGAATCAAGAAGCATGTCAGCCTGCATGGAGACCAGAGGACAGGCCAAGAGAGACGGCACTGCCTGAATGGATCCCTAGCTGTGAGGTTCCTCGGCACCAGACAGCACTGCTGAACTGCAGCATTCCTTCTCTAAGGCAGCACCACAAAAACGTTTTCATGATTCCGTAAGAGGAAAGACAAAAGACCTCAGAGATAACATTATTGAGAAAAAGAGACAAAAATTCTATGGTTTCAATGCTTTTTATTTCTTTAACTGACACATTCCTTGGTCCTTTAAAAATAGAGTCACAAATAAAAAGTACCTCAATACAAACTGTCTGTCCTTTCCCAGAGAACCACAATAAATTCAAACAGTAAAGAGAAGGGCAGCTAGGCTAGCCCAGGACATGTGCAGCCTATCTGAGAAGACTAGAAGAGCTTGTCTTGGGCTAGAGGCTGTGAAAACATGACTTTTCTTGAGAAACACAGTAATGGGATAAACACTGGTTACAGAAAGAGCTGGTTCATTAAAGGCCAAATAGATTCACAAATGAGCGTTACAGTCTGACTGGGAATAAACTTAGGCTGGGAATCACAAGATTTTTAATGGTCACAGCAGGGAGGTTCAGCAATAGCTCTTCAATAGATGAGGAGAGGATCAGAAAACAGGCTGCTTCAGAATGGACCTGACCAGTTGCTGAAAGGAGCTACAACACGGTTGCCAGCAACAGCTGGGGATCATAGTTACTGACCCAATAAGGCCCTTTGCAGGCCCTCAAAGCACCAAGCTTCCAGGTCAAAAGGACCCTCTGCTACTTTGCAGGGAGTCAAACACCAATAATGTCAGCACTACCGCGCACACACAGGGACAAACATGATGCTCGTGAGCCGTGGAGTCTCTTTGGCTGTGCACAGCACATTCCCAAAGCCTCCACGCTCTAAGGTTGACTGTGGCCTCTCCAAGCCTACATTCCTATGTCAGACCTATTGTGGCTTATATTTCAGACTCTTCTCTTTCCTTTTTTACTTGTTGTCTAAGACAGGAATGTTTAAGAGAACTGGAAAGGCCATAGAGACCGTGTTTAAACTGCAGTGAAGAGTGGTAGAAGGAGAATGGGATTTAGCAATCCCTGCAGGGCTTTGAAGGAGCTTTAAAATGAAGCAGGTAAGCTACAGAAAACATGTAATCTGTTATTAGGAATTAGCCCTAGAGGGCTGCAAGTGGTCAATATAGTAGCTAAGGATTAATAGAGCGCATTAACTTGGTGGTTATAAAAATAGTTAAGAGCAAGAGACAGGGACAGAACAGCTCTGCTGCCGTGTCATGCTTACTGAGCTGTTTAGGATTACTGAAAAGTGTGAACAAAAACCAACCAAACAAAAAAGTCCCGAAATACAATATATTTAAATATCTTAAATCATTTTTGTAAACCCTTTTGAAAATAAGAAAGCAGAAAAGGAAATTTTAGTGGAAAGCTATCTCATGAATTAGCAACTGGCCTTGCAAACAGAATGCAAAGAATACGCTTAAATTGCTATTTTCTGTGTGCTGACAGATTAATATTGCTGCTACCCAGAATTCAGGAACATAGCTAGTATTGGTTCAATGAATATCTTAAAGAACTGCAGCCAAGTAAGGATTAGAGAAGCAGAAACAGCACATAGGCATTCACTGTTCTTTTTTTTAACTGCTTCATTAAATGAGCGATTATTCAGTTGTTTCCCAGAGAGGACCTGAAGAGGGAGCAAAATGCCATTATATTTGTCATTGAGAGTTTTTTCATTGCAGTCTTCTAAGCTGTCCCATTAAGAGATCAGATATATTCCGCTCTCCCTTCAAGCACATCACCAGAGTTCAGGAGACTGCCAGGATCGTACACTGAATACACGGCTCAAACAGAACCATGCTTCCAGCTAGTCATAGCCACTGGACTTTCCTTTACAGGAAGAGATACTAGCAAAGAATCATGGCAGAAACATAAATCCCTGATTACTTTATTCGTGTGTGAGATCTTCAGGAGGCCAGTCAGGACACAGTGCCCCAGCAGTGCAATATTTTCCGTGCAAGTATTCAGAATACAAAGGGCTCAGTGGCTACCAAGAGGATATAAGGAAAATGATGTGACAGGAGTCAGACGGCTCACTTTCCATTTGAAGAGGATACTCACTTTCTATTCCACCTTTACACATCTCAGAAACAATCACTTTTGGTTCTTAAAACAGAGATGATTAATGCATTTATTAGGGCACAAGAAGAGTACAGGAGAGTATCTAGAGAATTTAGTACAAAAGTAACTGAGCAGCATAATAACAGATGAAATTTAAAAGTGAAGTATGAAGAAACCTACTGCAAAGAACTCTTGAAGACAACTCAGCCACAAATGGGTTTTAAAATAGTTGTTACCTCCTGGAGGAATGATTTCAAAACCAGTGTAGGCTCCTGCCTTTTGCTCTGCCTCTAGCACCATTCAGAAGAGATTAATGTTAAGCTGCAGAGAAGACAGAATGTTATGTTATTTCATAATCCTTGTGTATCTTGCATTTAGTTTTGTTCAGCAGATTTCGTAAGTAAAAAAAAGCAAAAAAGCCTGGAAAAGAGCAACAATTATTAAAACCAGGGGATTAGTTACATCCCAAGAAAGGTATGTGAAAACTGAACTTGTTCTTTCTGGGGAAAAAAACAACCAAACCAAACCAAACAAAACCACACAAACAAACAAACACCAACAAAAAAAAACCCAAAACTATAAGCTACAACTTGGCAATGAGTACATAACACATTTACTACAGAAAAGTTTCAGCAGTCAGTTGCATCATGTATCTGTAAGCCCCTGAATGAAAAAGCTCTGGGACTTTTTGTTTGGTCAAATTCATCAGACAAAAGAAGAAACTTACAAAGTACACTCTGATTTACTTGTTTAGTTTTCTGCTCGGAATATGATGAAGGCAAAGAGCTTAATATCATTTCAAAAAAAGGCTGAGAGACATATCCTAGGAGCATAAGAAAAACATCTGCAATGCTAGTAATTTGGATTAAGTGTTCTCAGTGCTCTGAGACTTCATGCTTTAGGATAATAAGCTCATCCTGGGCAGTTTTTAGTGTCTGCAAAGCATCCAGCATTGATCGTTGTCAGAAACAGTGCTAAACCACTAATCTGCTCTGGTACAACACTGCACACGTTCCTGAAGTCCTACGTAAAAACAAGCAGACAATGAAGCTGGGATGTTAAAACCTGATTCTAAAACTACCAGCCAGGCAATTACTTGATTACAAAAGTCTTGAAAACTTCACGGCCTGTAGATCTATGAATCATGAACATGTTGTCTTGTGACTTCATCAGGCTTCACATTCAACAGCTCCTCTCGCTGCTATACACAGAGCCCTCATAGCTCTGCAGAGAACTGGGTATACACTTAAAAGCATTAAACCTGCCATAGCACACTAGTTTTATTTCTATGGGAGAACAGAGCTAAATTTGCCAGTTTATGGCCTTATTTCTACTTATGTTATAAATAGTTTCTCCTTTGAAAATCCTAAGGCAAGCAAAGCTTTTATTTTTTAAGACTCTCATCTGAATTGTGGGGCCATGCTACCGCTCTTATTTCAGGAAAGGTCCTCTTGTCTGGCCTATAGCTTAAATACAAGAACTGTGTAGGCTTTAGTAGATTACATTAGATTAGCATATCATCATTACATAAGGAGAACCAACCACACAAATCTCCTTACAAAAGGAGTCTTAATTTGGAGCTTTTCTCAGGGCTCAGTTGACGCTTTGGAGACTAATATGACAATATCTTCATTTAAGCTGCTGCAGAAGTACTTCTTACTCTACAGCTTGGATTATTCAGAAGATAATGTCCCAACTGATCATGTAAACGAGAGGACAGTAATCTTTGGCTCCCACAGATACACAAAGCAAATGTATTATCAAGGTAGACAATTGTCATCCCCTCCAAACAGGATATGGCTGAAATTCTTTCAACTGTTTGATTCATTAGAAAGAAAAATAATTTTTTTAAAAAATGAAAATGTAGTAGCTTTGACCAATTACTTGCCACCTAAAAACAGAAATTGAGGCCAGTAGAAATTACTGTTCTTGTAGCATGTTTTTTTTTGTCAGATGGCATCAAACTCTCCGACAATGCTCAAGGACATTTACTATAGCTCTATTATTTTAAGCTTTCCAGTAAACTGTGGCAGACTCCACAATAGCATGAGACTAGCTTTAAAGTTAAATTCATCATGGACTTAATAAAAGGATACCCTTTTATTTGTCTTTCAGTTCTTGAGCCCTTGAAGTTAATTTTAAAGTTCTTTTCCAAAAGCAACAAAATTACGTTTTTAAGAAAAGCTGAACTTCTGACAAATTGCTAGGCCCTGAATCTTTCAAATGGGAATGTCCTTGTGAGTTACCTTAATTAACTTTGGCCTTGAGTCCAAAAATGTTCTTTTTTTAAATTACTATCTTGAATCACCTACCTTTTTAGCCTACTTTTGCTATGAGAACTGGTTTATAAGGATTCAGAATGAGTTTTCTGATAGTAAAACAGACATTGATGCAGTCCTGTCCTAGGACAACTCTCACATTTGTAAGTCCTTTCTTGCTATTCCATGCTTCGTTGCAAGTTACCTGACTTTATGCTTTTGTGTTTTGTACTCACTACTCTTCCATACTCATCCAGACAAGATGCCCCTGTTGTATTACTTGCCTCAAACCATGAACTGATTACAGAGAAACTGTATCCCACGCTTCTGTCTATCTTATACTGAGGTCCAAGGCCTCATTCTACTCTTCTCTTGAGTCTACAGATAACTAGACACCTATCAGTCTACAAGCAGCTACTAGAACAAATGCTTGAGCAGGGCGGTCTGGTATCTCAACACAGAAAAGACAGGCATTGATTCAATGTTCTCAGCTGGAGGTCTGTGTCTGTTTTAAGCTGACGAAGAGTGACTCTGGATCTTCTTCACCTACCCAGCTCTCCACAGGCCAGATGCTGGGAATGACAGAGACCTCTACCTACACCAGACTTGGGGACACTTCATCATAAAATAAATGGGTACCAAATGAATCTCCACACCTGTGACATAAATCCACAGCATCAAAGAATGGACAAAGTACTTCGGTATTTTCACACCTGTTAAACTTATCAGTAAATTTATCAGTAAGTTGTGGCTTTATAACGGTTGTGTGATTGATTCAGCTGTGAAAATTTCTGGCAGTCTTCCAGCTGCCCACTCTGCTTCGCACTCTGGCTGGATTGGCTGGTGTCTCTC